GGTCATAACATTGCATTTAATGGGGTTTAAGGGCAAGTTATTCTTACGACACCATTCTTCAACATTGTGCAGATTCTTTGACAGGATTTTACAGTCATTTATGGGTTTCACACTACTATAAAGTTTGAGATCATTAGCATATAATAAAAAAACTCACACTGATGAAATAAAAGCCCCAAGAGGGGGCTGTGGTACACCAGACGTTACCACAAACTTTGGAAGCTGTTGTCAATGTGTTGCGTTATGGCGACGAAGTTGATGACTGTTGAGCGCGCCTTCATAAATCCGTGCTGATGTATGGTTATATTATTCTTAACATGTTCATATACAGCTTGGCTTTTTCAAAAACCGGGCCAATTGAATTTTCCCAAATTGATGGAATTTTTCCGGCCCTCAAACTGAAGTCAACAACAATTGTTAAGGGATATGCAAAAGCCATGGCACAATCTTTTAACAAAAATGCTTGGGCGCCATTTAGACCAGTGGTAAGCTTGGGCTTTATTGATTTAAGTGTTTTGAAAATATCGGATTCGTTAAAGAAGTTTATGCTTGATGCATCCCAAAAGCTTCGCTGTCTGACAAAAACTGATTAGGAGTCGAGTATGTACTCTTAACGTAATCCGCGAAACTACCCAACAATTTCAGTCGAATCACTCAATTGACTGTCATTATAGATCATTTTATCTGGTATTCTGGAAGAGTTCCTTTTAAATCTGTCAGTTACTTGTCAGTCATTCATAATTAATATTGAAATCAATGAAAGGATTTCTTTAAGTTGAAGTTGGTTCAACTTTTCCGTGTGTTACGTTAATTTTCTTAATTTTAAAGTGGATGTTAACAACTACATATAAGTAAGTACATGATCTTCAACTTTTCTTTATTATTAATTTTCTGTGCGTTAAGCAAACCGATTGATATTATAATAGTTGTAGTAGAATCCATAGGATTAGAAACTACTTATGTAGAAAATAACTACTTAAGAAGTTGAAAAAAAAAAAAAAAACTCATAAAATATACAGTATGTCCACTTAAGTTCGCAACTTTTTTATTATCAATTTTACGAAAAAAAGTTATTCTTTATAAAAGTTTCTGCTTCTTGGAAAAATACCATTAAACTATTAAAACTTTAAATAGGATGTACAGGGTGGTCAGAAAATGGAAAAATATACAGGCTGTTTCCTAAGTATGGTTCGTAAGTTCAGGATGTGATTCCTCATAATATTTTAAGAAAAAAAGTTCTCATAAACATATGTCCGGAAATGCATAGTTTCTAAGATACAGAGTGTCAAAGTTTTAGCAAAAATCGTTTTTTTAGCTCAAAAATCCCTTTTCCAATTATTTTTTCAAATTTGGCAGGTTTGTTTGTGATAGCGAAAAGTATCTTTTGACAGTAATATGACTTGCTTAATCTGTAAAAAATATCAAAGGTTTAAAAAAATAGTGACGTGCTATTTTTTTTTTAACTTTTACCAAAAAACACTATATTTTTCTATTTTCTGACCACCCTGTACATCCTATTTAAAGTTTTAATGGTTTAATAGTATTTTTTCGAGAAGCAGAAACTTTTATAAAGAATAACATTTTCTCGTAAAATTGATAATAAAAAAGTTTCCCATATGCTGCGAACTTAAGTGGACACACTGTATATTCAAGAAAGAGGAAGGATAATTGAATTGAAATCTCATCAGATCAACTCGTAAGGAATTTATGAATCGGAATTTCAAATTGGTCTGCTTATCGAAAGCAGTGAAACTAATACATGTTTCCGTGTTTTCAGGGTGATAAATTGATATGTAAATGTTCAGCCCTTATCGCGAAAAGCGCATCGTAGTCGCCCAAATTATGAAATACGTTAAGAATTGCAAAATAATTTTTATAATTTAAATTACAAATATCGTGAGCAACCCTCTAAATCTCCAATGAGATGACTGTGATCTCTAACTATATCTATTCACAATCTGTAGTCCAAAGGTACAGGTAAATTTATCACCTTTCCCTATCAAATAGCATTCAAAGGTGATAAATTTTACCTGTACCTTTTGACTACAGATTGTGAATAGACAATATTTTATTAGTTTCCTTGAATTTCCTCTCGCAAATGTGACAGGTTTCAATGGCATCTCCTAAGCTCACTTTCACGTTCATTGGTATCACGTTTTTTAATTTAGAATAGAAACATGTTTATAGGACCAGAATTTATTGCTATCATTTGATATGTTTTCTTTAGTGTTACGAAGATTAGTGTTAAATGAGTTCTGTATTTCAATTTTCACTTCGGCCGTTATGTGTTTAAATTCATCAAAAGAAGCCACAGTGTTCTCGATTTTATATTTACGCCAGATTTTTGATTTAGTTTCTATTTTTCTAATAATGCTTCCTTCCATTGTTCCAAGAGGGATAATTATAACTTTTATGTTTTACAGCATATACAGGGTGAGTTCGAAATAAATGCGCATTTTGATATGATAGATAAAGTACAATAGGACAATCATTTTTTGCATAGGTACATAAGTCTGCAAACGTCTCGCTAAGGAAATACAGAGTATTGATATTTTCGGAAAATTTTGACTTTCTGCCTTTAAATTCAATGAGCGATTCTGTTGAAATTTTCAGAGAGTGTTTGCGATGTTCTCAAGCATCTTTCTAAAAAATCCGTTTGAGTTCCACTTTTCCAGGACCGAACCTAGAGTGACTTATTTTTTTTAGAGGAAAAATTGATAAGCCCCTGGGATTTTTAACAAATTAGAAATAATTTTTTGATTCCTTGTTTAATTTTAAACAAAAAAGGTATCTAGAGTTTTTCTTGTTCGATGCGACGTTTACGAGATAAAAAATAATTATCAATGTATATTGTTTGGAAAAACTCGTTGTTCGATACACTCCACTCTGTTAAAAGGATAAGAGTGTCGCTCTAGGTCTGGCCCTAGAAAAGTGGAACTCGAACGGATTTTTTAGAAAGATGCTTGAGAACATCGCAAACACTCTCTGAAAATTTGAACAAAATCGCTCAAGGCATTTCAAATCTAAAGGTGTCTAAAGGCAAAAAGTCAAAATATTCCGAAAATTTCAACACTCTGTATTTTCCTAACGAGACGTTTGCGGACACGTGTACCTATACAAAGAGTGATTGTCCTACTGTACTCTACCTATCATAACAAAATGCGCACTTATTTCGGACTCACCCTGTATATGCTGTAAAACATAAAAGTTATAATTATCCCTCTTGGTACAATGGAAGCACTATTAAAAAAATAGAAACTAAATCAAAACTGATTGATCAAGGATATTATATAATTGATCATAAAAATATTTGCATGCATCCTCAACCTCGTTAAAAGCATTCATTGGGGTCCAATCTGCGTTTGAGAATAACTCATACATCAATAAGAAATTCGCTTTTTTAAAGTTATATGAATTTTGAAAGGATGAGTGAAGATTTCCATCTTCATTATTTTAGGTTGATAGTACAGCTGATGTCCAAAGGAGCGGGATGAATGCCAATTTCCCCAATTAATGGGTCAAGAGATCCCTCAGAAGCCATCTCCAAAAAGAACCAGATCCAGCAAACTGTTCATACTATTTAAAACAAAATTCTTTTGAGTTATAAAAATCTCGAAAGTTGTTAAAAAGTGGACTTTTCCGGATCTCTCGGCCTCCATTAAGATAATCAGCATATTCTCGTATATTGAAATCTCCGACTATTACGATATCAGCACTATGAAGGAAGTAAAGTAGAGACAGGACTCCATAGAGTTCGTCCATTTCCGAAATTGGCGTGTATCAGACACATCAGATGAGAGGGGTTTAATATTTAATATTATTTTCACCATCTATCGTATTTATGTCAATAGAACTTGTTCATTTGACCCTCCAAGCCTTATAATCTTCATTACTCCATGTTCTCTCTTGGTGAGGTGGACAGGTACTTTTTGGCTCACTGTTAACACAAAATGCTATCGTGCGGGTTCCATAGAACAGCTCACGATCTTAAATGCTTCAATTTCACCAAAAACAGGCTGGCTTACAGACAGACCACGCGGCTTGTTTTTTGAGTATTTAGAAGCATCAAACCTGTCATGGTTTCGTTGCCGGGATACATGATTCAAATGTGCGAAATATTACCGTGAGCTTGTGATATTCTCAAGTTTTACAACAACTATAAGCTTTTACAACTCAGAGCATCAAAAGATGCTCTAAAAGTCAAAAAAAAGGATACTTGTGTGCCGCAAAATATCTAATGACCCGATCTCAATAATGAAGAACTTTAAATTACGTCTCTGAAATAGAATTAGATAGATACGGCTCCAGGTCGTCTAAAGCGTCAAAGGAAGGCAATTAATTTTAAAAAGTCACGCTGCACTTGATTTCCAGTGACAAGGCAACAATCCTTTTAGCTGGAAAAATTTACTAGCGCAATGTTAGAATTTGCGGTATGTATAACATGAAACAAATTGCTCTAAAGTTGTTCTGTGCAGTGTTGAGTACGGCAGGACCGGTTTTTTTTTATTATTGAGAACCCCTGTGTCTTTGGAATCTCATAAACATAACTTTTTCTCAAAGCTGGAATAAATAAAATATGTCCGGAGATTCGATTCGGCACTTTCCCCCTCACAGAAGCCACATTGAACCTATTATTGGAAATATTATTGTATTTTGAACAAAGAATGGATTTTATTTTTTGCAGCAAATGCCGCATCTTGATATCCTGTAATATAAGAATGAAAATCGAAAGGGAATTTTTACTAGCTAAAGAGGGTAGCAGGTCATAATTTGTTTTTGATTTAGCACGAAATTTAAAACCAAAGAAATATTATTTCCAAGTATTTTATCACGTTTGCAGCGTATATGATCCACAATCGATTAGGCGCATTTACTAATCGAGTGTTCAATATGTAGGCCTATGACTGGCCCTCCTATACTTTATTACTTTTAAAAAACAACTTTCATTGTTCCATAATTCAAAGTGAATATTTTCCTTCTTTGCGTTTCTAAATATTTACCTTCTCAGTTGCCGGTTCGACAATATAACTCCCATCAAAGCCAAGTTCGCAGCCATTCCCATTGTACCCAGAGCGAAAATCAGTGCCGCTTCCGCCGTGCCTCCCGGGTGACATTGAAAAACTTTCGTGACATTCGACGTTACGTTTGCGATGCTGCTGCCGAAACGTAGATTCGCACCTATCATCGCCACCGCGGAACCTATAAAAAATAGATTTACTTCATTATTGAGTCGATTCTAACAGTATTATCTACATATATGCTAACCACTAATCAAACAATAATTTTTTAAAAAACAGCAAAATATTCCCGAACCACAAGCCTAATTATCAAACCAAATTATTTTGATACCAAAAAAAAAAAAATGCTGAGATTGTCATGGTGAATTAAGAAGTCGTAAAAAGGTTTCAATTACTGAATGTTATTCTGTTCTAGAGCGAAGAGTGGATAAAGTGGCCCAAGGCAAAGATACGCACTGATTGATTTTCCTAGTTTCTTCCATTTAGTCGGTCATTCGTTAAATCATTTGGGAATATATCAATCCTCTTCGGCATTATGCGATGCTGCGTCCGTTATTGGACGAACTAAAATAAAATACGCAGAGAAACGGTGCGAGATCTAAACACATTTCGAGAGGAGAAATAAATCAAAGAGTGACATTTCTTCAATGTGTGTCCCACGGTGGATGGCGTATTAGACGTTTATGGAGAACTAAGAAGCGGATCATTTTGAAAATTTGGCAACCGGGATAAACGACCATGATCTATACTTTAAAAATATTTTTGACTATGTGGTGTTGCCGCTTCTACTCTAAACTAGTGGCCACATCATTATTTTAAATGGAACACCCCGTATGTGATTGCATATTTAGATTCCACGTAAAATTCTGAGCAGATTTCATGTGATATACCCTATACCTAAGTTCAACTGTTTTGGAAATATTGACGGTTGAAAATTGACTTTTTGCATCTTTGACAGGCTGTAAAACCTGAACGGTTAATTTTAGAGGAAAACCGATTTTATATTCCTATCTTAGATTTTCATAAACTATCATTTGACACCAAGTTAAATGCGTCACTGAACTCACTGGCAAGCGACTCTGATATCGGATTAAAAAAAAAAATAATTAAATAGAAAATCAACAACAAAATTTGAAAAGAAGTGTATTATTTCAAAATGTATTTACACGCTGGCAACGCAGCATTAGCTAGTTAGGCATAAAAGGTAATTTTTACGATAACAACTTTTTGAAAAAGAAAGTATATTTCCAGTGGATATTTTATAAAATCTCAAATACCTAATATTTCGAATGTTATTGTATAAAATTTTCTGAAATTCGGAGTGCATTACTTTGTTTAGAATCTAATATACGAAATCCTGAATTTAAAATTTGGACTCGGCAATATAAAGTACCTACTCAAAACTGTATTATCCAAGCAATTGAATGCTGTAATTTTTTTTTTCCCTAATATTGTCACAACTGCCCGCTTTACGGGGCTGGCATTTGAGGTTTGTAACTTTGGGGGTGGATGGAGAGAAACTCGCTCAAGTTATATAAAAGTGAAGATATATATTTTCCCAAATATGCCCTTACATATACACTAGTCCTATAGGATGCATGACCCTTCGAACACTGGGGTCCTTATAGGGAGCCACACGTCAACGCTGCTTGGGGGACCATCGATTAGTTATCCTCACCCTTATGCCTTGTCCAGAGGGGCTTTCCCAACGAGAGGTACTTGCACTGGGGAGACTTAATTTCAGAGAGGCTTTCCCAACGAGAGGTAGTTGCACTGGTTTAAGTCTGCCTTTGCTGCGGCTTGCAACACAATTTATATCCGTTTATTGCTGAATTGCAATAAACATCCGATCGAATCGGCAATTAAATTAATAAGGTTGAATACCGGGTCCTCCTTTCCTAAGCAGCTAGTTGACATGTGCCCCCCTCCATGAAGCATTGGACCCAATGCTTGGAAAAGACATTTAAAACAAAATATATACAATTACCATAATGTCAAAAAATACAATAATATCCTAATCCTAAAAATATCCCTTTTTTACAATTATATCCTAATTATAAAATATCCCTGCTTAACAATCCAAATATCGAGTATAGAATAACAAAAGTTTTTTATGGTGGGATGGGTCAGGGTGCATTATTATTCAGGTTACTACAAAAAAAAAAAAATATCTTACAACTAAGAAATTTCATCAACTTTACCGCTTCAGCCATGGGTTTTTTCTTTTGGTCCGGTCCTGTTTTCTGTATTGTGGGTCTGTTCTGGTTCCAAATACTTCTTGGTGGGTCAGCTAGATCGTGGGGTGTTAACAATCCCACGGTCTAAGTGTCGTTTCCTGGTTTGTTATACTTCTTTCTTGTTCATTCTGCTGTATTCTGTCTTTCAAGTGGATTGGTTCTGGCTCCAAGTACTTCCTGGTGATTTGGTCATCTGGGTCGTGGGTTTGTAATCCTTGATCATTTCTTTTGTGAGTGTGGTGGAAATGGTACTGTGGTCTGTCTACTTTTGGTAGGGGCTGTTCACTTTATACTGGATCACCCTGTACAGGGTGATCCAGTATAAAGTGAACACCCCCTACCTTTTCGCTAAAAAAAATATTTTTGAAATTTAATTAGATTTTTCGTTGAAGCGCTGTGACCAAAAAAGTAATTTTTTTAAATGGAATAACCTATATTTAAATCAACTATTTAAACGCCCTTATTTTCCTCATTTCAAATATATAGTTAGTTTATCTTTATTTTAGTAATTTGCAATGTATTTTCACTTCAAAATTCACATAAAAATAGCCGAAAAGGTATCATAAAACATAATAACCAGTAGTTTTATTAAAGGTAAAATTATTTAGATTTACCTTGGTACCTTTTCGGCTATTTTTATTTGAATCTTGAGTGAGAATATATTGCAAATTATTAAGATAAAGATAAACAAACTATATATATTTGAAATAAGAAAAATAGGGTCGTTCACAAAATGGATTTAAATTTAGGTTATTCCATTTAAAAAAATTACTTTTTTGATCACAGCGCTTCAACGAAAAATCTAATCAAATTTTGAAAAACGTTTTCAAATTCCTAGAAAAAAAATACACGAAATGGCTATCTTGATTTTTTCAAAAAAAAAAATTTCAGCGAAAAGGTAGGGGGTGTTCACTTTATACTGGATCACCCTGTACATCTTTAATTTTCTTTGGCGTCGGGAACCCTTTTATGCAAATTATTTTTGCTTCATCTGGTAATATGCCTTGCTCCTTTACTTTGAATCCTAGTATTTTGATTTCTTTTTTCAAATATTCACATTTGCTTGGTTTTAGAGTAAGGTTAGCTTGTCGCAATCGCACAAAAACTTTCTTTAGTTTGCTGAAGTGTTCTTCGAATGTTTGCGAGAATATAATGATGTCGTCTAGGTAGATTAGCACTTCCTTCCATTTCATATCCCAAAAAACTTGGTCTGCTAGTTCTTGGAAAGTGGCTGGAGCGTTGCATAATCCAAAACTTTAAACATTAAATTCGTAAGTCCCATGTCCTTGCGCCCCGAAGGCAGTGTATTGCTTGGACTTCTCTTCGACTGGAACTTGCCAATATCCGGAAAACATATCGAGTGTGCTGAACCATTTTGCATTGCCCAAGTATGACAAAATGTCATCGATCTGCGGTAGTGGATATGTTGATTTTTTTGTTACTGTGTTAACCTTTCTGTAATCTACACAAAATCTCGTTTTTTCCATCTTTTTTCTTAACTAGCACTACAGGGCTAGCCCATGGAGAGTGGCAAGGCCGAATTACTTCGCTATCGAGCATTTCCTGGATTTGTTCGTCAATAATCTGTCTTTCTTTTTGTGACACTCTGTATGGGCGGCTCTTTATTGGGCGAGCCTCTCCGTTAAGTTTGTCTTTCCCATATGTTTTGTAGATTTCGCGAAAACGTCGTTGTATTCCAGGAGTTCTTTGAGTTCGTGCCTGTTCTTCTCGTTTGTGATGCTGTCTAACTTATGATCTTCCATTATAATTTTTTCGCTCTCTCCATCTTTTTCTGCTTGCAACATGAAATTGTGTGACAGAGTTGTCTCTGATGCTGTTTCTGCCAAAAATGCCATTGTGGTTCCGGCGTATATAGCTACTGGGTTCCTTGTCTTTGATTGTACTTTTAAAATGAGGCTACCTTAATTGGTGTGAATGTGCGTTTTTAGTTCAAGATGATTTTTTGCTAACCATTCTAAATTATATTTGCATGTATACATAGTATTATCTTTAATCTCACTAGGTTTGCCCATAATATCTAATTCCACTGTTTTTAACTCATTCTGAGACACCGTATGATCTTTTTTTGTAGCCAATTTATATGTGTTTTTTTTAGTTTCTGTACCGATTTGCATCAGATGCCTGATTTCCTCTTCCCGCTTTTCTTCTTTAACTTCATACCCAGGTTTTTCCCTATAAATGTGAATTTGGACCCCTGCATCTTCAAATAGAAAATGTATAATCTGTTCAAACCTTGCACATTCTTTTTCTAATCCGCATCCTTGTCTTGGGATGACTAATTTTTTGATGGATTCATTTTTTGAGATATTGTTCTTCAATGCTGTAAGACAATTTATACATGTTTCTTGGACTTGGCTTCTCCTTCATTGATTCTCTTGTGAATAGAAAAATTACTGATTTTTTTCCTTGATTTGACATAGATAGCTCCCCAACGGTCCCTTTCTCTCTGTTTTTTGGAATCATATGCCTATATTTTCTGAAAACTGATTTTTTTGATTTGTAGTTTTGGGTTACTCCTACTACTAAAACGGTGTCGTTCGTTAGGACATCTATGTTTTCATATTCTTCTTTCAGGAGACCGTTAACCTGGTCATCTTTTATGTGAATGTGCTCTCTTACAAACTTGTTAAACTCTTGTTCATCTCTTGAAGTATCTACTCTAAGCTCTCTCGTTTTAGTCGGCTGTTTTGTTGTGACCAGACCTGACATGTTGATTTTTTCGTTATCCATTTGTCTTAGGGGTGTTTCATGCTGACCATTCAGAATCAGTTTTTTCCGTGAGAGATCTATGATCGCTTAATTTTTTGTCAAAAACTCCATGCCTAGGATTATTGGTTGAGTTAATGATGAAATCACTCTGGCGTTCAGTCTGCCCTTCCATTTTTGACTCCCTGGTATTTCTATCGGAACTTCAATGTCTCCC